CTTTCAGGGTGGAAGGAAGAAGGGGAATGTGAGTTTGCTAGGGGACTGGAACCCTAGAACGGGATTGGGTCCGTACACTGATGGACTCCCATTTGCTGCAGTGGTGAGCGTGAGCGTGGAGGTGAGGGAAGGAGAAACTGGCAGGGCTAGTGGACTCAGGACTTGCCGGACTTGCTGTGACAAGTCTCAGGTAGCCTCTGGTCCTGCTGAACTTTTCTCTGGGGTCTCAGCCATGAAAAGAGGGGGCTACAAAGCAGGGATGTGCCTAGGAGATTGACTTGGCTCCAGGCCCCAGCCGTGGAGTGTCAAACAAGCCTGCCTACACACGTCTGCTTCCCACCTGGGTCAGAGCCTGCATGCCTCCCCATGGCTGCCAGGCTACAGCCCCCAGACTCCATGGTCACGAAGCCATGTTGTAAGATCACAGACGGTCCTCGCTGATAAGGATCTGAGAGACCATCCCCTGCCTTCACAATGCACAACTGGTGGAGGAAAATATCAACAGGACACTTGATGTCTTTGTTTCATCAAGAATATAGAGAGGTTACAAGTGAGCATAGTACCAGCTACGGGGGTGGAAAAGTACAATTTTTCAGAGGGGAAACTTTCTGTAGAGGGGAGACATGGCATTTGTAGGCCAAAAAGCCTGGGGCCAGCTACCAAGAAAGTTGACTTTGCACAATGTCTTCTAAGGGCTGGAAAATGCAAGCATTCCCCAAATGTGGCTCTTATGTAGTCTCAGTGTATGGACAAAATTCTCCCATTATTTTCATAATTATGCATACTTTAAACCCAATTTACCTGATCAATAATGAGGCAATTATAATGGAGCCCACAAAACCCAAATAAGGTAAGATGTTTGGGATCTCACGGTAGGCTCTTGGAAGTAGGCGTTTCCAACTGCTGCTACTAAGATACACATAGGCGATATTGCTGTGCTGAATGCAAGAGGAGTGTGTTTCCTTCCTGACCTGTCCCAGCTTCCAGAACTGACCACAAACCATAAGCATTCACATTTCAGAGTCTGTGAAGAGGGACTTTTCTATGTGGTCCCAGAGAGCAGGGACCAGAGAACTGGTGGAAATTGCAGGGAACATCCCAAAGGAGGATCCTTTGTAATAATGAGAGTTGTTCCAATGTGGACTTGGGTGTTACTTTGTGACGAAGTGAGATCCCTGTCACTTTCAGCCTCGGGGAGAGACTACGTATGGACTCCCACTCACTGGGTTCATTGCAAACTCAAGTGTCAGACAGGAGTTGATCCAGATTACACCTCCGTTACGTATGCTCTAAGATTCTACGGTTTTATGAGCTGTCATAAAATCACTGCCTTTGCAAAATCAGTGCAGCGTTGGATGCAAAAAAAAAAAAAAAAAAAAGAAAGAAAAAGGCCATCATTTCTTTTTAACTCAGAACTGACTTTCATGGTTCAGTGCTTGAGAGAAGCCTTATACTACAAGCACCTGAAACACTTATGTCATTCTGCACTGAAAATCATGAATGTTATCTTCATAAATCTTTCCCCCCGGTTTTATTGAGAAATAATTGACATATGTCACTGTATGAGCTTCAGGTGTACCACATAATGGCTTGATTTACATATATTGTGAAATGATCACCCTAATGGGTTCAGCTAACATCCATCTTCTCATACAAGAAAAAGAAAAGAAAGAAGAAAAAAGGAAAAATATTTCTCCTCGTAATGAGAACTCTCGGGATCTACTCTCTTAATAACTTCCCTATATATCCTACAGCAGTGTCAGCTGTCTACACTACATGTCTACACTATATCCCAGTACTTATTCAGCTGCAAGTTTGTACCTTTGGACCACCCTCCTCCAATTTCCCCTTCCTCCCCGCCCTCCGCCTCCGGTAACCACAAGCCTAATCTCTTTTCCGATAAGTTTTGGGGGTTTTTTGTTTTGTCTAGGGTTTTTTTGTTTGTTTGTTTGAAGATTCCACATATAAGTGAGATCATACAGTATTTGTCTTTCTCTGACGTATTTCACTTAGCATAACATCTTCAAGGTCTATCTATGTTGTCACAAATGGTAGGATTTCTTCATTTTTTATGGCTGAAAAATATTCCATTGTGGAATAATATTCCATATATGTTTTATCACATTTTCTTTATCCACTCATCCATCAATAGACTCTTAGGTTGTTTCCATGTCTTGGCTATTATAAAAGTGCTGCTATGAACATGGGGGTGCAGATAGCTTTTTTTTTTTGAGAGAGTGCGTGTGCACAAGAGCGTGTTGGGGGGTAGGGAAGGGCAGAGGGAGAGGAAGAGAGAGAATCTTAAGCAAGCTCCATGCCCAGCATGGAGCCCAACACGGGGCTTGATCTCACAGCCCTGAGATCATGACCTGAGCCAACATCAAGAGTCGGACGCTTAAATGACTGAGCCACCCAGGTGTCCCGGTGCAGATATCTTTCTGAGTTAGTGTTCTCATATCCTTTGGATATATTCCCAGAAGTGAAATCACTGGATCATTTGGTAGCTCTATTTTTAATTTTCTGAGTAAACTCCATACTGTTTTCTACCAATTTACAACCCTACCAATGGCGCACAGGGTCCCCTTTTCTCCATATCCATGCCAACATCTGTTCTCTCTTGTCTTTTTGCCACATACATCTTTTTAGGATTCCGGGTTCTCAAGCTCCTTGATGGGGTGATTTTATCTTAGTATCAACACCTGTAATTCCAGGCTTTAGCGTAGTGCTTCTTAGCTGGGGGCTATTTTGGCCCCAGGGGACATTTAGTAATGCTTGGAGACATTTCTGATCGTCAGATGGGGGGTGGGAAGGAGCTACTGGCATCTCCTGGGTAGAGCCCAGGGATTCTGCTAACGATCCTGCAATACGCAGGACAGCCCCCACAACAAATAATTCTCCAGAGCAAACATCACTAAGTGCTGCTATTGAGAAACCCTGTCCCAGAAGTATGGAGGAGAAGACAATAACAAAAGCACTACTCTTACTTACTGACAACCTACTGTACTTGGCCCCTCACAAAAGTTTTTGATCTGTACAATTCTTCAAGATGGGCATTGCTATTGCCAGGGTACAGGGCTCAAGTCCAGAGAGTTACATTGTGTCTAAGATCAAACAGCTTGCAAATGCAGAACTAAGGCTCGAACCCAGTCAGACTCGAAGGGCCAGGTTCCTCATCAGTATGCCAGGAGCCTCTGACATCATTACACACTGTTTGCAGCAGAGACTTAGGCTCTATACAGCCAAGAAAGTGCACTCAGGAGTAGAGGGCCTCAGGAAGAGGCAAAGGGACGGAGCCTAAAACGGAGCCTGTACTTCCAGACAGAACCTGAAGGGGCAGCCTCCCAAACCACGTGACCACTCTCAATGGCCGCCAAGCCCAAACCCTCCGGAGTCTGGGCAAGTTTGCTACACCGCTTCCTGAGGAGATGCTGGGGACTGAGGAGGGAGAAGCACCCACCCGCATCATGAGGTGAACTTCAGTGTGACTTCTGGGTGACAAACGTATCATATGTCTCAAAAATTTTGACCTTAAATTAACTTTTGTTCAGATTTTTGAGAATGTGCTTTGGAGTCAGACGAAGCCCAGCTGAAATACTGCTTTTTCACTCTTTTGTTGTTGTTGTTGTTGTTTTAAAGTAAGGTCTACGCCCAGTGTGGCCCTTGAACTCACGACCCTGAGATCAAGAGTCACATGCTCTACCTACCAACTGAGCCAACCCTTCACTTTTCCACTTATTAATGGGGTCGTTTGGGGCAACAAGTTACTTTATCTTCTAAGCCTCAGTTCTCCCAACTGTATTATGGGCATTCACGTCATCACCACTGCTTCATGGGAGTATTATGAGGATAAAAAACAAGAAAATGAATGAATGAAGTGGAGGCCAAAAAGCTAGGGACCCAGAAGCAGCTAAGAGACCAATGAATATTAGATGATATGGTGATGCCACTGTATCACTATATGGTTTATAGTATAGAGAGTTCTATTATGGTGAAACAAAGAGAATGGGGAGGAGAACAGGGCTGGATTGCCAGATGTGGCTGTGCGGGGTGGGGCTGCAGGCCGAAGTGCACAGATGTGGACCGCCCATGTGAGTGCTCCGTACTCTGTACCCTGCTGTGGAAGAACAGTGCATCATGGAGTCAAAAATAGCAAGTATGAAGGACAGAATGAATCCTAAGCAAGTGTCCTTTGTGATTTCAAGGGACATTTCTGTGGTTGCCTTTTCTAGAACAGTTATTTGTGGATGGCTGTCATTCTGTTGGTTGCCAAAATCCCATCATGTAACACACACATGCTTCTGCCTAATGTCTCCAGTCTTCGGCTTTGAGCCTCTTAAGAATGTGGAAAACTAAGTGAATTCTGGTATCTGTCAGAGACCAATGGAAGCACTTCAGGAATCTTAATCCAGAAGCAGAAATGAGCCAGTCCACTTGCATCTTGAACTTTTTTTTCAAAACGTTGCAATGCCTCTCTCTAGGTTAGGAGCTGGGACTTCAATATTTTATTCAATCAGTATTTGATGGGACATATTTTAGAACTGACAGTGGATCAGATGAATTAGTCATTGCGTTGATGAGCCAGTGATTCACACATGGGGCTTTTGTCTCCTGAGGACTTCACCTCTTTCCCCAACTCTGGCCTGTCCCCACAAGCACCTCCTTCTACAACAGTAGCATTTCTCCACACAGGTATATCTGCTCAGAAAAGGGATCTCTATTCAACTTCCCAAATTGGAGACTCTTAAAATACCAGAGCTGGAAGATCCTGAGAGACTCTTCACTGAAAAGATGAGGAAACCGAAGACAAGAGAGAGTGAGAGCCTTGCCCACAGTCACACAGCAAGTTAACAACAGTGCTAGAATTAATACCCTGGCTTTAGAACAGCTTGTCCCATTTTCATTTACCACTCCCTGAAGTTTCTCCTCTTCAGTGGGGTAATTCCAAAGTGGGGGGAACAGATTTCTCCCATATTTCTCACTAGTCAGAGAAAGTTAAGAACATTATATTTCAAAGCTTCACGAATTTGCGTGTCATCCTCATGCAGGGACCATGTTAATCTTCTCTGGATCATTCCACTTTTAGTGTATGCACTGCTGAAGTGAGCACTAGAACACTGTATTTCAAACATCTGAATAAAACCTGATGAAATTAGAAAGAGAATCTTAAGTGGGAAAATCATAGGGCAAGCAGCAAGACTTGATGACTGGAGCAGATGTGAAGTTGACAAGGCTAGTGTGGATCTAATTGCCAGAAGTCTCCAAGAGTATAAATGTGAGGTCCCAGGGACCCATCACACCCAGTGACAATATGGACAGCGGTTGACCATGGGACCAAGCCAGAAACAATCCTTTGGGCTTTCTCAATATGACACTCCAATAGGAAATAAAGCATACAGAAGATGTGACATTTGAAATAAAAAAAAAAGAGAGAGATCTTTGTGCAGATTTTGCTTTCAACAATGCTGACCATATTTAACCGATTTTACTTTTGCTATCTAGAGAGCCAAAAATATAACCAATAGACTGGGCTATCCTGACATGGCCCAGGGAAAAGTTGTGCAAAAAAATGACCATCTGTTTATCCACTGTAGAGACCAGTCCTCTCCTTCCTTTCCCACTGCTGTGATGTAATCACTGCAGTTCTATTGTGCTCTTAGTTAATTACATTTTATTTGTGGTCTATTCTTTTTCCATTTACAGCAATCTTTCTTGAACCTGACTGTGATTTACACAGATGATCAGGAGCACTCTTTAAAAAAGCATAAATTCCAGGGCTCCTCACATGGGTCACTGAATCCAAATTTTCTGGAAAAAGTCCTGGGAATCTATATTTTTTTAAAAAAGCTTCCCAGGTGATTCTAATGCCCAGGATTTAATAGTCTAGTTCCTTCCTCCTTCCCTCCGTCTCCCCTTATGTGCTGCCTTCAAAATCTAAGCACCACATATAACATTCTTGGAAGAGAGACAATATTCTTCATTCCAAACAACCACCAATTTACAAATAACACTTTGGTAAAAGACATGCCCGGAAACCTGGAACTTGTTGTATGACTACTGGCACTATGAAGAATTGTAGACTCAGAAATGGAAATATGGTCATGTTCTTTCTTCCTGAAGATATCTAAGGAAAGAGACATGTTTAAGTGCAAATTCTCGTGCTTTATTTGAAGTCTTTATTATATTCAGACTTCAAGAATTAATTAATGTTAATATTAATTAAATAGTCAGACATAAAGAATTAAGACATGGACTAAATCTGGCCTACACTGAGGTTCTGAGTTAGGGTGCTATTACCTTTTCTTTCTCCAAACTTAAACAACACAGATGTCCCTTAATCTTTCCTTGTACACATTCTCCCCGCTCTTTGATTACTATTCTCTATTGTTCCTTCAGGTTCTTCAAGCTACTCTTGGTTCACCAGCAGGGACTAAAATACCTTCAGGGCACAACGGTACCAATCTACTTTATGGTTTGAAAACAGTTTGCCCTTTTTTTTTTTTTAAGATTTTTTTTTGAGAGAGAGAGAGTGAGTGGGCTGAGGCAGGACAGAGGGAGTTGGAGAGGGAATCTTAAGCAGGCTCCACACACAGCATGGAGCCCGACATGTGGCTCGATCTCACATGAGATCATGACCTGAGCTGAGAAAAAGAGTCGGACGCTTAACCGACTGAGCCACCTGGGTGCCCCATGCATGTCTCTTTAGGAGAATTTATTTCACTACTCAGGAGTGACTTAGATTAGTGGACTCAAATCTAAAGATCTAAAGATTGATACTCTGATTCAAACAAAGAAAGCTCCTTTTAGAATTCTTTTATTTAGTGGTTCTTCTGCATTTGATCTGTAGCCAATTTCTGGGATTCCTATTATATAAAGATCAGAATCTGAATTTGATCTCAACGCCATTCCTGTTTTTTCTCATTCTCTTCTCCCTGTCCCTCTGAATTCTCAAGTTGTTTTAGCTCATCTTCCTCCTCATGAATTCGCTTTTCTATACTTTCCCTAATGCTTGCAGTTTTCTCTTGAACAATCACACTTCCGGAGGAGTGAATTATTAGCTCCCATTCTCACCCTTCCCTGCATCTGTGCCCTCTGCCACACAACTGTGAAGTTCCTTCCACCAAATGTGGACTGTCTGTCTCCCCACCTTGGTTTTGCGTGTGGCCATGACTTGCTGTGGCTAATGGCTTATGGGCAGTTCTGTTTCCTCTCAGTCCCCTGGCTCCTCTGCCATCGCCATAAAAGGAAACAGTTATGGTTAGCTCATTAGTGCTGGGGGAAGAAAGCACAGACTTGTCCAACCTATGTCTTGGGGTCACCTAGCTGAGCTCAGCCAAAACGAGCAGAGCCAGAACGGACCATCCACACAGACTGTAAGACTGCAGGACACCTGTGCTTCCAATGAGCCTTTAGGGCTGTTCAAGTGGCTATAGGACTGAGAGAGCGAACTAAACCATGCCTGACTAAGGAAAGCAGCTTAGGTGGCTCAGTGTCCTTTAAGGGAAGAGGCAGGACAGCTCCTTTCTTCCCTGGGCACTGGAACTTAAAGACGCTAACGGTTCTCCAGACAAGTTGTGAGTAAGACGAGGAGAAGCAGACACTGACTTCCAGGGTAGGAAGAAGCTCCTCCCTCCAGAGGCTCTGAGGAAGAACTGATGCCCACCGGAAGCCCTGCTCCAGGCAACATAACTCACCCCCAGCAAATGGCCACAGCCCAGCAGAGCCATGACTGTGGCAGAAGGAAATGCCCCCCGAATCCAGGCCTAAGCACCTGCATCCCCACCCTTTTAGGCTGCTGTGATTTCTTTCCTTCTGGCTTGGCTATCTGTCTCTTAAGTGGGCTCCAAGAGATTGCCTGCATACATGACTGAGCTCTTTATTCTGTTGACTCAAAAATAAAAAGAGATTCTCCTTATTTTTCTGAATATGGTGATGCTCACATAAGCAATAAACCAGCCCCTAACTCTTAGTCCTCACTCCGGGAGTCAATTTAGCCAAAACTGAGTCTTAATTTAAGATTCTCCCTCCATGTGATGGCTCATCCCACAGGTAAAGGTTACCACCTGTGAGGCCGAAATAATGGTATATGAGTACACAAGCCAAAGCCAAACTGCCAATTTGGTAGGAAGACCATGTTTTCTAATGCCATTTAAAAAAAACCCAGCAAAACAGAAAAGGTCATAGAACTAATTTTATCCTATTTTCCAAATCCTTTCTGCATTCCATCTATGACACTTAATGGATGAAATGAATGAACAGGTCAGGTTCAGTGAGAAAAGATACCCAGTGTCTGAAAAATGATTTTAAACAAAATTTTCTGCCCCTCAGCGTGTGCACTGCCTCCTTTCACAACCGAGGTAGTGAATAGGCTGTGCTCAGGCCACTTGGCTGCTAGGATGAAGTTAGCCTGGAGAATACTCTTCCAGGCCTCCTCTGCCGGGCAGGGGTTCCCTGCGATGTGGCATACCCGGTCCCAATTCTTCATTCAACAAATAGTTGTGGAGCTTCTGCTCTGCGCCAGGCCTGTCTGAGGTGAGTACGTACAGCCAGTGGGAAAGAGGAAAACGACGGAACCTTTAACAAGAGTAAAGACAAAGCGATGCCGCTGTATTATATCAATTGTCACCTACAGCTGAAAGCACCATGGACTTGCCACTTCTGAGACTTCCTGTAAAACCACTTCTCCGAGCGGCCTTTCCTCCCCAGCTTGTTGTCAGTATTTCCAACAATCCTTGGCTCCCTCATCTTGTCTAAGAGCCACTTGGGAGGAGAGCAACTCCCGAGGCTCAGGACTCTGAGTGACAGGCTCCTGCCCCTTCCCCCTCTACCTTCTGGGCTTCCAACAGGAGACCTTTCCTACTTCCTAGAGGTACTTGTCCTCACCAGGGTGATGTCGTATTTCTAGGACTAAGATTTCTTCTTCTAATGATATATACATAGATCTAACTAGCTATCTATCTAAAATGGTAATAGTTAAGCCTTTACCCTTTGTATGCTAAAACGTGTGTGTATATGCACACACATGTACACACATCCACACACGTATGTGCACATGCACACATGTGCATAATCACATACACGTACACGTGCAGGTGGGTACTTAATCACATACACGTGTGCGTAATCGCATGCTTGCATGTGTATATGCACACACGTACACATCCACATATATAAATGTCTGTGCATGTGTGTACACATATTCACACACCTGTGTGCGCACGCACATGTACATACATATTCACATACGTGTGCATATGCACGCATGTGTGTATTCACATGCATGTATGTGTGTATATGCACATCACATACAAACTTCTTCTTAGTGAATTTCCCCCACAAGCAAAATTTAGCTAAGCTGCTCTTGAGAACTCTTCAAGGGACATTAGGACCCAAGCAAACAGGGACCCAGGCCTTGAGGGCTTACGGCCAGTCTGCTTTTCCCTCTGGTGACCCTACTGGAGTCCCTAAGGACTCTTCACAGTCCTCGTTCACGCTTGGGTATAAAGGCTGGTAGTGAGGTAGCTCTTGCCCTTTGTATTCTAAATGAGCCTGCACCCTCAGGAGAAAGAGATGAAGCTCTTGAGGCTGAGATTTGAGGTGGGGTTTGGTGGGATGGGGTGGAGAGGGAGATTTGGTTCTAAGGCATCTCTGATCACCACCTTCCACCCCATCTCACATCTCTGGCTACGTGTCCTGGGACCTGGTACGAGCACAGTGTTTAAGTGCAAACCTATGTTTTTGCTCCTGTGTGAGCCTGGCCAACCACTGGCCACAGGAAGGTCACTTATCTCCCAGACGGAAATGTTCAGAACCTGGTTGAGAACCATAAAGGAACCAACTCACCCTCTGAGCAGCGCAAGCAGACAGTACAAAGTTAATTCTTAGAGCAGGCACATAACTCACAGTGGTGCCCTCATTCGGCACGTCTATCGTTCTCAGACCCCTGGCTACCGTTTCCCCACTTCACATTGATCAAATGTAGGAAACAGACCCACTACAGCAGCAATAACAGCTAACAGCCTGACTCACAGGAGGAAAAAGACAAAAGCTGGTGGAAGAACTCAAAAGGTGGGCGTTTAGTGAAGGGACAAGCTGCTTCCAGCACCTCACTGCTCCAGGAAAACATCACCGTACCGAATGACAGCCCCATACAGTAATTAGTACTCAGAGTAATAACTCGGGGTTATCTGGAAACGTTAAAACGATACCAATGTGCTCTGTTTTTAGGAAGAGAATTCCCAAGCTCTGGGCAAAGGGTCCGGCACTGAGGAGGGCCCCCTAGAGGACAGTAGCGATTACTGCACTGTAAGACCCCTGCGCGGGGAGGGGGAGTGCGGGGGGGGGGGGGGTGCCGGCGCTGGGAACCACCTACCTCTGGATGTTGTCTTCCAGTTGTTTGACTCTGAACTCATCTTCCTCAGACTGCCGCCTCCTGGCTTCCTCCTCTTCGGCAGTTCCAGCGGGGATACCCTGCAGCAGCCATTTTTCCCGAAGCACTTTGGACTGTGGGAATGAGGGAAGAGAACAGACTAGATGACACCTTTCGGTCCACGGCCTTCTCTGTGTCGCGGTGCCTCGGTTTTAGCTCCGTCCCTCATCAGTGGTCACCTGAATTGCTGCCTTCGCCTCCTCACTAACTTGGCTCCCGACTTCCCTCAGGCCTAACCCCTAGAGAGCCACCAAAGGGGTTTATTTCTGCATTTCCTACTATAAAAAGCTTTTGAAAACATACAGAAAAACAGGAAACAGTACAATGAATGCCCATGTAACTCATCTAGCTTTACAATGATAAACAGTTGCCGTATTTCCCACAAATTTTTCACCAAAGCATTTTAAAGGAAATAACAAACATCATGACATTTCACCCATAAGTATTTCAGTATGAATCTCTAAAACATAAGGACATTTTTCTGTGCTACTGCAATTCCATTATATAATTTCTTAAGATCACCCTAATATCGAGTCCATCTTAAGGTGTTTCTTTTTTTTAAAAAAAAGATTATGTCATGCTTCTTAGAAGTTTTTAATGATTCCCAACCATCCTCAGCAGTGGTCTCCAAATGGTATTAAAATCATGCACTCCATTTGCACCAGTGTACTAATACATTGTGAAGTGAAATAAAAAGGTGGGTTGTTTTTTAGTTTGTTTGTTTTGTTTTTAGTAGGCTCAGGTGGAGCCCAATGTGGGGCTTGAACCCACAACCCTGAGATCAAGATGTGAGCTGAGATCAAGAGCTGGACGCTTAACTGACTGAGCCACCCAGGTGCCCCGAAATAAAAAAAGTTTTGAGTTTCACATCAATGGCTGGGAGGGAGCCATTACTGCTTTGACAAGAGAAATGAAAACAGCTCAAAAGAAAGGCATGCTGAAACTCCCTAAAACAAAGAGCAAGGTGAGGAAGGCATGGGAGAGGATTTTTGATTTGGGTTTCCATTACATGGTCCCTAGATGGCAGACGGTGGTTATTGGATGTTTGCAGGGGCTGGGCCCTGGGCATCATGGCTGAGCGTCCCCTTGGCAGGTCGGTGGTCCTGGGAATGGAGTGCTGTAAGGGTGCTGTAAGCAGGGCATGTCACCAGTTTTTCCCTGGTCCCATAATGGCTATGAGGCCATTCAACATAGTGTAAGCATAGAGTAAGCACTGGGTTCCCTGGATCCCAGAATCACCTCCATCAGAATCTGGTTTGACCTCATCAGGCAGGCTGAGCAAGGTAAAGGAAAGGGAGCCCTTATAATGACTAAGAGCCAGGCTATGCATGGCTTGCAGCCAATTAAATATGATGTACAGAAATGAGAGAGTGGAATATCTCTAATATTGTGGACACAGAATTCATACTCACTTCAGTTTCCTTTCTACAGCTCTTATAAGCAAAAGGTAGACAATTCCAGAGGTTCACATTTGTCTTGAGATCAAGGAATAGGAGCTACTTATGATGAAGCTATAAAATGAGTTACTAAAAATTAGCGACATTTAGTAATAGTAAGAATTCATTAACGGTTCTGATTCACCTTTCTATTGAGAAATCCTGCAGCTACGCAGGGCTCTGAAGCCCCTGCTGGATGCACAGGCGCAAGTTCTAATGGCTAGAATTCCTACACTTCTTTTTTTTTTTTAAGATTTAATTTATTTATTTGACAGAGAGAGACACAGCGAGAGACGGAACACAAGCAGGAGGAGTGGGAGAGGGAGAAGCAGGCTCCCCGTGGAGCAGGGAGCCCAATGCATGGCTCAATCCCAGGACCCTGGGATCATGACCTGAGCTGAAGGCAGACACTTAATGACTGAGCCACCCAGGCGCCCCCAATTCCTACACTTCTGAATGGACTTTTTGTTAGCAATGCCTCGGTGTGGTATCCAGGTAGTCACAGTCTTCACTGGTGTTATTCTTGCCCTTTAATTATAGATCGTTTTTGGTGGACGTCTGTTTGGTTACCCTTACATACAGTACATAGGGAAGCATATTTATGGCACTTGACCTGTAGCTTTCCACTCATTAAAGACATGAGGTTGTTCATATGTAAGTTATTCCAACTGTATGCTAAAGGGACTGTACACAGAAGCCGCCCTTACCCAATTTAAACAGTTATACATCATTGGTAACATGGTGCCTGTAAATGTATATACAACTACCACCAAGGATGGTGTCAAAAAAGTACTTTAAAAGTTTCTAGGGCATTGTTTAATAATATAAAATCATGTGTAAAAGCTCACAGTACAATTGGTTTACATTGGTTGCTCTTTCTTATGGGCTAAATTATAGCTCCTTCCCCCACCAATTCATATGTTGAAGTCCTAAACCCTCCTACCTCATAATGTGACTGTGTTTGGAAATAGGGTCTTGAAGGTTAAATGAGGTCATTGGAATGGGCTCTAATCCAGTATGACTGGTGTCCTTATAAGAAGTGGAGATTAAGACACAGACATGCACAGAAAGAAGATCATGTAAAGACATCAAAGGAAGACACCCATCTACAAGCCAAGGAGAGAGCATTAGAAGAAGCTAACCCTACCAACACCTTGATCTTGGCCTTCTAGCCTCCAGAATGATGAGAATATGTCTGGTGTTTAAGCCACCCAGTCTGTGGTCTTTGTTATAGCAGCTCTAGCAAACTACTACATTCTCCATAGCTTTATTACAGAGATGTTTCTTCCACTGGAAAGTGGGGATGAGTGGGTTAAATTGGTTTCTCCTTCTAAGTGGGCTACAGAAAAAAAAAAATTCAAAACCACTGTTCTCCACTCAAAATTCTCCAGGTATCATGCTCACACACAGTGAGAAGCCATGTCAAACAGTGGTTAACAGCCTGAATTCTGGAGCCAGTCTCCCACTTATTAGCTGTGTGACCTTAAGACAGTCTCATCTGCCTCACCAAACCTCAGTTTTCTCATCTGTAAAATGGACGTGATGACAGAGCCCACCTCAGGCTTGTCATGAGGATTAAATGAGTTCGTACGCAAGTGCTGAGCCCATACTTAGTACTAGAGAAATGTTTATTATTGTTGTCCATGCTGTTCTTCTGGCCTCTCCTCCCTTCATCTGAGAAAGAGCAGGTAAAATGAAGCCTTCCCCGCTCCCACTGGCAGGATCCATGGCTCTCTGCTCTGTCTCCTCTAGCAGAGAACATACTCCAGCGCACTCTTAACACTGTTCTCCAATTCTTTCTTTTTGTATCTTTCCTCCTCTGAACTCCCAGCTCTTCAAAGGCTGGGACTGTTCTTCATGCATCTTTGCATCTCATTGCCGCACCCAGCCCAGTTCCAGGGAATGAATGAGTAAATGGGTGAATTGGAAAAATCTCAACTGTCATTCTAATTACTCAGAAGGGGGGTGTTGCACTTTCATTCATAGTGCTCCGTGAGTTGAAATGTTTGATACTCACCTAGTTCAACCCATAGAGGGTAAAAACCCTGTTAGGATTACTGGGGGACAGATCTATTGGCAACCTTGGTCTTGGTGTGTGTACTCTTCTGAAAAGGCAGCCATGGACAGACCCAGCCTTCTCTGCCCCAGCTGGGATGCTCTGCAGCCAGGGCTTCTTGAAACGTGACACAGTGGCTACTTTTGGGAATGTTCTGTCTGCTCTTCTTCACACTGTGCCTCCTGCCACCCAGGAAAGGGTCTAACGGCTCATTTCTGGCTAATTGAGTCCTAGCCATCCATCATTACTTCTGACAAGAGCCGCCTGGTGACCATGAACACCGAGAGCACGTGTGCCCTCACATCTGTCTCTTCTCTGGATAAGCCAAGCATCCCCAACAGCTGGAGCCAAGAAGAGAGATTCTTTTTTTTTTTTAAAGATTTTATTAATTTATTTGAGAGAGCGAATGAGAGACAGAGAGCATGAGAGGGAGGAGGGTCAGAGGGAGAAGCAGACTCCCTGCCCAGCAGGGAGCCCGATGCGGGACTCGATCCGGGGACTCTAGGATCATGACCTGAGCCGGAGGCAGCCGCTTAACCGACTGAGCCACCCAGGTGCCCAAGAAGAGAGATTCTAACAGAACAAGACAGTGGGCCTGGTCTCAGAGAAGTCTGTTTCACAAAAGTGTTTGGACATTACAACAAGAAAAAAGCAAAGTTGATTTTTTTTCACTTGGTCTTAAAGTAACGCTGCTAGGGCAAACCACCGATTCTAATACGTTTACCACCGAAGGTTCCCTTAACCTACGCCAGATGCCCTCCTGTTGTCCCTGAGGGTCGGCTGTGCTGCAGCCTTGGAATATAATGCACTTGTGCGGGCTGATCACACACACCCATCGAAAGCACCAGTTTCCCTCTACTGTTCTGGTCCCTATTGGTGCCTGAGTGTTTCGGAATTAAGTGACAAGCAGAGCACGGCAGAGGTGAACACTAAAAATAAAAACTTTTCATTTTTTTTTATGTCCGAACTGCATATACCAAAAAATTGTATCATAGCTTACAGGGGTGAAGAACTGTCAAACTTCACCTTTGTCAAGTGGATGCAACTATGAGGAGTCAAGACAAAGGAAGTATGCATAAGGCTTACAGGAGAGCTTGCGAAAGCACAGATTCCCACTCCCAGAGGTGTCGATTCTCGAAGTTTGGGATAAGGCTGAGGAATCTGAATTTTAATAAGCTCCCAGGTGATGCTGCCATTGACGGTCCTGGTCCGAGGTCCACAATTTGAATAGCCCTGCATCAGAACCTGTGACTATCCAAACACCTGGAGAATGCATAAACTTTCCCACTGGTTAGCCAAACGCTGACCCGAAAAGGAGCTCATCATCCTTCCACATAGCTGTCTCTCCTCCTGCATCCCCGTCTCAGGAGCAGTGGTGTCCCCATCCACTCCCTATGTGCCAGACACTCTGCCAGCTCCTTCAGACACTGCTCTGGAAGACAGGCAAGTCACCAGGATCACCAAGCTTTTGTCCCAATACACAAGGATGCAAGATAAATTCAGACTGTGATACATGCATGGCAGGAGGTAGGCAGGACAGTATGACAAACAGGGATGGACTGAGGACACTTAAGGTGGGAAA